CCCCCCCCCCCAACTTGGTTGCTTCACTGCATCGGCTATTGCTGCAAGTAATGACAGTGTGAATAAATTGTCAGTATTTGCTTGAGAAAGTGCTTGCACTTCTGGAGGGACTCTTAATTTTTGCATCTCATAGACTTAGCATGGGGATTTGGTTAACCAGTTAAAATTCATGCGTAAACCACGTCTTTTTTTAACCTGAAAAATGGGGGCGGGGGGTTGAACTCCAACCCCCCCCCCCCCCCCCCCCCCGGCTACAGGCCTGGTGACCAGTAAACAAGGACTGTAGAGCTTTATATTCTGCTGGCAATGAACAAGATCTGTCACTTTACGCTATTCTCTGGGCTTAATAGGTAATTTCTTCAAACCGTCTCATGCCTGAAAAGTTTCAACCTCTGCTAAGGCTAATCAAATTCTATAATCTGCTCCAGAGCTGGGGAACTATTTTTTCTGCAATAGGTGTTAAATTCTCAAAAGAAGCAGCCAGCACAATCAAGGATGAGGAAGTTTACAGGCCAATACCTGGAGGTATATGAGAACCCAAGCGCATTCTACCCTGTCAGTTGTGGTCAGAATATCTAACTTCTTGCACATTGAAAAAAACTCCAAGAAGAAGCAAATAAAGTCTTAAATAACTTTTAAATCCCAAACGATTCTTCTCTATGTATGGGAAACATACGTATAGACAATCAAGTAACTGCTTTGCCATTTTGTCAAACTAAATAAAAAGTTATAAATAAGTAATTCTCTTCATTCCTTGAAGACAACTGCCTTTCCAAAACCAACCAGAAGATCGAATCTGTTAAACATATTAAAAGGACCAGTAAGCAAACATAGCTCTTTCTAATGCTACTGAACTAAAGTATTTGTGAACTAAATTCTACATCTGTTTTTGTCAAATAATCATAGACATGGACTGTATCTACACCATAGAACTCATGCAATCTGATGCCAATTTAACTGTCATGGCTAAATGCTACTGAATCATGAGTATTGTAGCTTTTACAAGTTCTTTAGTCTTCACTGCCAAAGAGGACTGGTCCACCACATTACAACTCACATGGTTCCACTGCATTGAGCTATGGCAGTTACAGTGGTATCAAACTGAATTAATTCAGTGTAGATGCATCCCAATTAAATAATGGTATTTGTCACTTTAGCAAACCTCATACATTTCTCTGCACAATATATAGCCAAAAAACATTTGTCACATAGGAAGCTACAAGTTAATCATACTATATCCAACAGGACTATCTGACTACCAGGAAATTTTATATATCAACACTGCATTCCTGAACATGCTTCATGACTTGCCCCTAACATATATACTGAGTTAAATGATATGGCCAGGCAGTGCACATAAAAATGTGTTATTAGAAAAATAATAATGACTCTTAATTCATAAATCAAAATTATTGAGGCATTTCCAAACACTACTGATAACACACAAAACACATTAAGTACAATGTAAAAACGTCAGTTGTTATATTCAGTTTAGAAAAGTGTCACTTCAAATCCTGGCCTAGTAACTTCTCTGACATTTGAAAATTATGTAAGTTTATCTTCTACATGATGGCCAAGAATACAGTAGCCACCCTTCCACCTTTGAGGGTTTAACCTTTGCCGATTTCATTTTTTTGAATTTGTAATATATTTTCTCCAGCAATATCTAATTCCTTCAGCATGACACTATGGACAACATCTAGATTTATAGATCTTAGCACATGATTTGGCATTCACCTTGCAAATGATTTGACAGTCATCATATATTCATTCAGAAGAATCTAGAGAATTACAGGCAATCCCAGAGTTACAAACATCCAACTTACAGATGACTCATAGTTAAAAATGATGATGAGACAACAAGAAGTGAGAGAAATCTATGCCCAGGAAGGAAAATTTACTTCTGTAAGGGTTTATCATAAGGAAATGTTTATCCATTGAAGCTTTATCCCTAATTCTTGTTTCCACAAGCCATTTTTTTTCAAAATCCAATTATCACAGGGACAGAAAGTAAGACGAAATCTTCTGTACAGGGACACAGCAAAACAAACACCACAGGGATGTTAACCCTTCTCTATGCTATCCAATTTTTGTATTTGGCTGGAGTTACACTTTTAAAATGTACCTGTTCCGACTTACATACAAATTCAATTTAAGAACAAGCGTACAGAACCTATCTTGCTCATAATTGGGGGCTGCCTGTATTCTATCAGAAAAAAAGTGTTTTTTTAAAAAAATAAAATCATGGTTTTTCCACCTTCCCAGAGGGTCCTACGCCTATAGAGGACTTACTGTACCAATAACCATAATGCTACACTGAATTCATTATAATCCAAATGCCTAATTCCAATGTTGTATTAGCCAGAACCGTCATCCCTTCTCTTGCCTCCCCGTTGTCCTCAAAAGTTGAGCAAATTTTGGGATGTACATGGAACTGCTAGAGAGACAAAGAGTGTTCTCTTGAAACAGCAAATAGACTAGTTTCACACATGGATGTTCCTCTCTTGATTTAGTCCAGAGACAGAAAGTGATCCAAACTATAGTTTTTGATGTGACGCCAAAGGAGTTCAAATTATTCTCTCCAACAGTAACAATTACTTACTGAAGGAAAAATGTAATCATACATTACTAATTACTAATATGTTACTATCCCAAATACCCTGATAGAAATATATACATCAGTTTTAATAAGAAGGAAAATGGGGTACTACTATAAAAACATTCTGAAACAACATAAAGACATTGTGGCTTAGAAAGTAAACACTTAATTTTTTTAAACTTACTTTTTTATCTTCTTTCACCTTCTGGGTCTTCTTCTTCGTCTTTTTATCATCTAATTCTTGATCTGATGTAATAGCAGGATTATCAATACCAGCTTTCCATGTTTCTGCAGGAGAGAGAAGTGGATCTTCTTCGCTACCACGATGTCTTCCTTTTCTTTTTGTTTTAGATGTAGTAAAAGCTTCATCATCACTTGCATCTGAATGTGCTCTCCTATAATACGATTTGGCTTTACTGAATAGCGTTTTAGATCTGTATTTGTATTTTGAAGGTCGTCTTTCACCTTGGGTCTTTGACATTCTATCAGGAAAGCCATTTTCTTCATCTCCTTGGGCATTACTTATAATAAATGAATTTCGAATTTTAACCACACGATTCTGACTATCATCTGGAATTACGTAGATATCATCAGTAAGACCTCTGTGCTTAAAAACAGTGTCTATTGGTTCTGCATAATTATCAGACGGATCAAGATCATCAGTTGGTGCCAAAGCCATTCTAGATTGTTTCCTTGGGTTTTTACCAATGCCTGCCTCAATAGTTTTTACTAGGTTTGGATCTAGTTTTTTCACATTTGTCTTGGGCACTATTGGCTTCGGTTTTATGGGAGGAGGCACTTTATGGTTGCGTTCATGATCATGACAGTTCAAAGGTGTACTATGAGTAGGATATTCATTACCTTCCAAATCTAATCGGTATTTTGAGCGATCGGGTGTCGGGAGTAGCTGTACATCATCTCCAATTGGGCTGTAAGGAGGTGGGGCTTCTGTATCATCTTCTGAATCTGGATAATAATTGTAAGCAAGAGAGCTCCCTCTGGGGGAATGCAGAAACACATCTTCATTTGTGTGTGTTGCTTCTCTTGCGTTATCAGACATATAGGAATTTTCAATCATATTTTTCTTGTCTAAAACATCACTGAAGAACAATGTAAAAACCTCAGTTTGGCGGTGATACTGAGATAAAGAATATAGGGCTGTGAATTTAGCAGTGATCTCTGTTGCTATATGTTCACCTTCAGTCATTAATTCCTTGATAGCTTCATTCTCAAAAAAGTCTGCTTGACTGTCAGTAACAGCCACCAACTGCACAGGAATTGTATCTTGCACTTCTGACAGAAATGCTCGAAGCATTCCCATAGATGCTTTTCTTTTGGCAGAGTAAACTAATATGTATCCATGAACAAGTTCATCCTTTCTTACACCAATTGAAGAATGATATGATAATATTGTTATTTGAATTCGTCTCCGTTTCTCACCTATAATTTTATCAAGCATTAGCGAATTATTCTGGCCAGCTTGGGCTGCACTACAAGAATGGGAATCAAGGAAGGGTGAAAGAATAAGATCTACACTGAAGGGATCTCCACACATGCCACACATAACAATCCTTAAATCAGCTTCTGAGAGGTCTTTAATTGTAGGAACAGGACTTACAACATCAAAGTTATGTTTAACGGCTTCCAGAACTCCCCGCAAAGCTTGTTTTACTTGAGTCTCATTAAATTTACGTGGGTAAGTACCAGCAGGGACATCTATAAAAGGACATTGCAACTTATTTGCCAACTGTTGTCCTTGATGTCTCAGGATTGGCAAATTCTTGCTAACACTTTCTCTCTGATTAGCCAGGATTAATGTAAATGGAAGATTGGCCATATACTTGTCTCTTTTTATCTGAGATGCTTCAGCCCTGATTTTTCCAATTGATTCTCCAATAAAATTAAGTGATTCAATTGAATTAAACACACAGAAACACCCATGTGGTTTGAAGGCAGAAGCCCATAACTGACTTAAAAGATAAGGTGACTTTGCATCAACCGGTCTAAGATCAAGTTCATATATTTTTCCATCTAAGGCATATTCATCATCTGTGGATTGTGTCCGAATCTCATTTGCCAGCTCTTGTGCAAGTCCATCTTTACCCAAAATGAAAATATTTACTTTATCAATGTTGGCACTATCATGATAAAAATGTACACGACCATGGTCCAATTGCAAAAGACTGCCAGCAAGTAACTGTTCTACTTTAATGTCCATACAGTTTTGGCCACTGAGACATGTTTCTTTAGTAGGATGATATACAAACCCAATGTGTTTAAGAAGAAGAGACTCTCTATCAGGTGCAAGTTTCTGTAAAGCTTTGTATCTAGGCTCTTCACTCAAAACTGCATGAATTTCACTCATTTTATCAGTACTTGGTGTTGCATTCAAATCCAGGTCATAAAACAGTTCTGAATGTTCAAAAAGCATTTCCTGAAACTCCTCTTTGGCTTTTTCAACTATTTCTCGTTGATGCCTACTATAGACTTCTCTACTATCTGCTTCTGTAATATATTTAAAAGCTTCATCCTCCATTACAAAACACATAACTTCTTCCCATGGCTGACCAGGAGAAATGAATTGTATTTTTTCAAGTGTTTTTTTGAACTTCTCCTTCATTTCAACTCTCCTTTTTTCTGATATTAGATGCTGTACGTGATTTTGATACACTTTTTCTGCTTCTACTGTGTTCAAAAGGTCAAATGGGATTCTTCTGTCATTCACTTTATCGATATGGTCAGTTTCATCCCATGGGGTTTTTTCCAGCACGACAAAACATAGTTGAAAATCTTGCCTTTTCTCCATAAGTTTCAAAGCTTCAGACCAACTCAAATGCTCAATCTCATCAAGGTTTGACAGAAGTGTGTTAAAAGCTCTTGGTAATGTATTAATATATTCATCTCTTCTTTTTCTTATATGTTCTTGTTTAAGTTGCTCTATGTGTTTTGAAAATGTATTTTTGGCCTTTTTGGTTCCCTCCAAATTAATGTATTCTTCATAATCTGGATGATTTTTCAGTTTGTTGCTAACTGTTTTCCAAGTGGCATGATAGTCTCTCACAGTCTGTACAAGTTTCTCAAATTTATCTGTTGAAGTCACAACAAGCTGTCTCTGTGTTTTATAGGCATCCAGATAGGGAATTATTTTAGGTTTACCACGGGTTTTATCCATCATTTGTACCAGTGCAGTAAAACATGTTTCTACATTGACATTGAATCTTGCTGATGTTTCAACTACCAGAAGGTTCTTTTTATTTGAAGCAAATGCTTGAACTTCTCGTAAATAATGTTCCACACATTCATCACATTTAGTTGCTGCTATTATTATAGGCTTTTTAGATTTTGATAGCTGAATATAGAGATTATTTACAAATTTAAGTTGGTCATCAAACTTCCTATTGCATCCTTGACTTACATCAATGCATAATAAGAATCCATCAATACTTAGCTTTCCTTCGGGCATTTGCTTTTGCTCAAAGTCTTGCTCTAACCCAAGCTGATCTGTGCAAATATACATAAGTTTTTCTGCTGACTGCAATTTGGTTGCAGCTGCACGTTTTATGTAAGGTTGTAAGTTCGTACTCCGATGAGGCAGGAAAGTCTGATCATCAATGAACTCAGTCTGTTCAATAACATGAATTTTGCAATCTACTCCATCCTCTCCACATTGTATTACGTCACCCCAGTACAAAAAGTGATCATTATTAACAACTCGTCCACCAAAGTCAATTGTGCTAAGCACAGAGGTATGTTCAGGGTAATATTCATCTGCTTTTGAACGCACAAACCTATTGCACAAACACGACTTCCCAACTCCACAGTTCCCCTTGTCTTTTTCAGTTCCAGAAAGTCCAACCACACTAATAGCATAGGATGGGGGACGAGGCTCTTTATTCTTTGCCATCATAGTGTTCTTCTCATCCTTCTGTATGTACCAACACAACTGGGTGTAGTGTTCATTCTTAAAAGTGCTTCTACACACTAAAATTTTATCTCCAAACTTGTAAAATTGATTTTAGTTCTTCAAGGATCGTCATGTTTGTAATAAACTTAGGTGTCCAATATTGGGTTGTCCATGTTTCTGAAAAAGAAGAAAGACATGCTTTATCAATGGCAATTACCTAAAGTTTAATTTTAAATTCCAAAGAAATTGTGTGTGTGTGTGCACACGCACCTTCAAGTTACCCTGTGAAGTTGTGGTAACTTGATGAATTACATATGGTTTTCTAAGTCAAAATAGACTCAAAGGTGGTTTTGCCAGTTCCTTCCTTGAAATATGGCCTACAGCACCAAGTATCCACTGATGATCTCCCATCCAAGTACTAACCCTAGTTGATCCTCCTTCACTTCCAGGATCACAAAGGATCTGGTACCTTAAGGGTATCTGGAGAGCAAAGGAAAATTGACCTCGTAATGCATAACTTTCTGAAGTCTTTCTTTTTTAGAAAAAAATAACAAATTCAAATCTTGAAGAAGAAGATAGAACATGCATACATTAAAGGTGCTAATGAACACATAGAATATTCAGAATATCAGTGTAATTTGTTTCTGATTAACATTCTGACCCAGCAGTGACAATCACAGTTAGCTAACAAGCAACTACCAGTATGTCTGGATCACAGGTATGTCTGTGATTTTAAGTAAACAGGATTCTGCTACTCAAAAATAGCAGCCAAAATTCATCAATTCATCAAATCTTGGATTAACTTCATGAACTCCATTACCAAACCAGTTCACAACCAATGTCAGCTGCACAAAGATCTTTCTTTTTTTACTTGTACTTTTTTCAAATTATTTGTAAAATAGTTACAATGTCATATTATTAGGCATGAGAAGACAGTAGAAGAAATAATAGATTGACAAATAAAATTGTACCAGTAAACCACAATGTTTAGAAGGAATTCCTTCAGCAGTTAAGTTTCTTATTTATTTTCAAATTTGCCAAACATTTCCAATAAAATGCAGGCTCTAAATAAATGGTTTGCACTTTTCCTAACTCCCTCTATTGTACTGCAAATATTCAAAAGAAAAAAATAAACAAGGTCTCGCTTCAGTTAATTGATATTCCGTGCAGAAGACAAACGTTAATGTATAGATACGAATTAGAAATTAATCATTTGTGTCAGATCACTGAAAGTAATTACTAAAATGTATCAATTATGCAGAATACAGCAGCAATTCTTTAAAACTGTTCTAGCTTTTTCCTCTTTCACTGATTAACCACAGACATTATATTACTGTCAATGCAGTACCTGAAAGCTTCCAAAGTTCTCCATGCACTCTGATAAAGCTGTACAGCACACTAAAGACACAATTACTTTTTTACTAGTATATTTATTTGTACCTGCACAAAGCATGATCGGGAAAAGATAAGCAAAACCTGACTAACCATAGGGCAGACACAATTAGATTTTGGCAACACATCCTATGTTGGAAATTACATAGGATGTGAGCTATTACAACCTTTTTCAAGCCTCCCTAGTAATTTGTTTGCATATTGTAAGCTGGTTGTAAGTGGCCTTGAGCCACCTTCGGGTTCGAGAAAGGAAGGATAGAAATATTGTGAATAAATAAATAAATAAAATCTTGTTGCTTACTTATTGTATGTATGTTCTAGTATGCAGCTTCCCTTGCTCTAAGTTTCCTGAGAAGTTGTGGGAGGGGCTGCAGGCCACATGATCTGATCTGACACTGCTCAGACCTCAGACTCCATGTTAGTCTTCTTAGACTTTGCGACTGTTCAGACAAACACATCTACAGAGCTGTAGCTGGGGG